GGCTGTACCGGGTTTCCTTCCCCCTGCTCCGGCTGGCTTTGATTGGGTGACTTTGTCTTGATCTTCTCTGTCGATCTCTGATAAGTGCAGGATTCTCTGAAGACGTCTTAAATTCTTGATACTTCTTAAATTTAGCTGAGGTCATCTGGATCCTTCTGATTTCTTCTTTCATCTTCTCTTTGCATGAATCTCAGCACCCAAACAGCCAAACCTCAATTGGGCCCCACTGGAAACCGTCCCGAAACGATCCCGGACACGACTGGGCATTCGGACCGTCCGGTTGAAGCTGGGCATGATGGACCTGTCGGTCGGTATCGCCCCGTCACTTGGGGTTCGGCCTGTTCGGAACCGGCAAAAAACACATATATGACGACCTAAGAGCAACAGGAACCTACTACTACTACTACTACTACTACTACTACTACTACTACTACTACTAGCAATGGCCTCCAACCTAGCAGCGATGGCCTCCAACCTAGTAGCGATGGCCTCCAACCTAGTAGCGATGGCCTCCAACCTAGAGAAACCCTGGGAGTCCATTGTTAAATGGAAGTGCAAAAGCCCTAGTTAAAACATGTTAAAACAATGGTTGTTTGGGATTCAGGCTATTCGAATAGATTTCTATTGGGGATTCACCCAGTTCGGGCAAGTAAACATCACCCTTTTTCCGCCAACCAAACATTCCCAGACCATCCATGGGATTGGAATAGTGACCTAGATGTAATAAGTTTGTGACCCATCAATTTTGCCAATCTAAGTCAATGTGACTCTTCCTCTGATACTCGGAGTTTGGGGCATTTACCCACTTTCAGCACCAAGAGTGAATGAACCAATTGTAATACTGATGTCTGTGGACTGTGGGAGCCAGCTCTCCCTCTCCCGCCAGTGGCACAGAAAGAAACACAACATTTGGATGAAACAGACTTGCTAGTTGGCGTACCAAAGACATGTGCAAGCCAGTATTGGCAGAGATCAAACATAAAGCGGGAGAAAAGTTCAGCCTCAGATTGGTTTGGCTCAATCATGATCCATCGTTGAACAACTCCACAGCTTGGATTACGCCATTCTCTCTGTCCTTCTATAAAAGAGAAACGCGTCTGCAATGTTCATCTTGACAACCTCTGCAGTACATTGACTCCGGACCCGGCACTCAATTGGTGCGTGGGATCAGTGGGGCCGGCGATCGGACGACCGGCCTTCCGCGATTGGAGGGGTCTCTCGGGCTCAGTGTCCAGGGAAGGTTGTCCTCGGCGCATGGGAAGAGTTGGCCTCCCAAACGGAAGACATCCTCAAAGCACCGGGACTCCAGTAACTGACCAGTAACTGACCAGTAAGCCCAAGAATCCTTTCATCTTTTCACCCCAGTAACTGACCAGTCATGACACGTTGGCCTCTTTGCCCACTGGCTCCCACCATCCATCGCATCTGCGCACCTGCCAATATCCTTTCCGCCACCTTCACCAAGTCTACCAGGACCCTCCGACAGGTCACCACAGAGGTTGGCCTCTTGGAACGCCCGGAGCCCGAGTTCGGGTGCGACCGGAGCGACCGGGAGAGCCCCCGAAACTGAGCTCCGGCTCCAAATGGCGGAGCTAACAGCCAGGAGCATCCATGGGACTGGAATGGAGATGTTTGTATACATGGATGTTTGATTTTTCATGGTGAACATGATAATATAACTAAATTCAAACTCGTCTTTGGATGATCATGCATGGTCTGGGTCAGATCGGGTAACAAGCCAAGCTTCAGCTAAAGAAGACATGCGGTTCCGCATCCGCCGCAAGGCCAGAACGGCTGGCCCAGCAACGGCCTGGCAGATCGAATGAGAATCAAACTTTGATGAATTGACGAGACCCCACGAAAGACCCAAACAAAAAAGAACAGAAAACACCGATATTGTTACATTCACCAATTATTACAGGTGAAAAAAGTCCAACATCCATCTTGCTTGCAGGCCATCGCTCTTAGGTTGGAGGCCATCGCTACTAGGTTGGAGGCCATGGCTCTTAGGCTCTTAGGTTGGAGGCCATCACCCTCAGTTTGGAGGCCATCGCTTGCAGGGCCTCTTTGTTTGCTCCTTCCTTCACTTCACCTAATTAAAGACGGAAGTGAACGCCATTCGCGCCTGCGACTGGGACGGTCGGCTTGGCTCTAAAGCTCGGCTCTGTTGGTTCGCCTGAGGTGAGGAGCGGCGACCAGTGGTTGGTCCCGTTTGGAGGAAAAGGCTGACAAAATGCTTCACGAGGTTCAGTACTTCTTCCCGGAAAAGATAGGGGTACCCGCAGTGAAGCCCTTTGATTCTAGATCTGAATGGTAGAAACACCCTTAAGATAAATGATGGTTGATTCATAAAGCCCCTGTGCCTTGATGGAGAAAACATGTTTATCTGCGGGGGTTGAAACAGACTCCGTTGGCCAAACAAATCACACGGTCACCATCTTAGCAGTTGAAGTGTGTTTTGGTGGCGCAGGTGAATTGGTGACCTCAGAAGTGAGGAGAGGACTCTCCTCAGAGTCAGATCTGGTGAGCTTGGAAGGCAAACATGGGAATGGGGATGGATCTCAATCGCTTGGAGGACCTCAGTGCGTGACCTGTGCAGGATACCCTGAACTCCTTGAGTCCCAGTTCACCGATACCAGGAGACCCTAGTAGCTTCTTGTTCCTAGTAGTACGGGCAGGAGCCCCTAGTAGCCTCTTTGCTCCTAGTCGCGATGCCAGGAGCCCCTAGTAGCTTCTTGTTCCTATAGTAGAACCTCTTCAGCTTCTTTTTGAGGAGATCGCAGTTCCACTCCGCAATAGCTGGTCACCGGTGCTTCATTCCAACGACCACGACCCTGTTTCCACCAGTTCCCGCTCAGTTCTGCGTGCGAACCGCGAACCAGGACCAGACCTCCGAAAGACCCCACACTGAACGGGGCGTTTCGTGGACGGAGCTCGCGGAAGTCAGGATTCTGAGACACGGAAGGTCAGGGTAAGTAGCGAAATAGCTCAAGGACGAAAAGAAGAGCCGTGAAAATACATGGAAATATCATCAACCGTCTAGATGAAGTGCCAATTTAATGGCACTTAAATCCAAAATGATCTAAAAACAAAAAAGGAAACTCTTCCGCCGCCCCATCTTTCAGTTTCTTTTTTCAACATATTGACTAAGGAGATACGACGCGTCGGGCCCTGATCGTCTGGTTTGCTTGGCAGCTGTACCACACGACCCTTCGCGGCACAAAGAGCGGCCAGCGGAGTGGCTACCAGAACCCTCCTAAAGGTGTCTTTCAGCTCCTTCCAGGTGATTCCGGGTGTCCCAAAACCACCTGTTCGAAGGTCCTGGTACATGATTTCCACGCTTAAGGAGGGTTTTCACACACTGGGGGGGAGGGCTTTTCCACCCGTGTCGTACATGAGCCGCCCCCCATGTGTCATACAATGTCAGTCGTAATGACATCATCTTTCGTCTCAGTCGTGTGGTGGTTTTTCCTCCATCTGATGGTTCGATGGTCTGAACAAGTGGTCCACGACCTCCTTGTCCAGGACATCCAGGTCTCCGGACACGTTGTTGCATATAATCGTGACCTGCGCGTCTCGGGGTCCCCCGCGTCCAGGCGTGTGCGCATTGGTCTTTTTGGGCGCCGGGGTCGGAGAGGTCAAAGTGGATAACTCGACTATAGCATCTAGCATCTAGATAGCATCCACTACACGTATGGTTTATATATACTTAGAATGGTCTAGAATCTAGCATCTAGATGCATGCATGATGCATCTGGCAAGCACATTGGGTACACACGAGCACAGTAGGCTTTCAGTTCATAGAGTAGAAGTCTCCAAAAATGAGGAAAGAAAGGACTTGGGTACCTAGGTACATTCACAGTCTATCATGCTGGTTGCGGATTGTCTCCATATTTGCCGTTATATGCCTCCTTCTCCTTCATTTGTTGAAGATCAAACCTCTGGAGCCCTATAGTCAGTAGCATCTGACCCAGGCAATCTAGGGAATCACATCCTAGAACCCTTCAATACGAAAAGAACACCAACACACGTAACAAACATGTAACAACCATGCTATTGTCTTTACTTAAGCGAAAGTCACAGGGTGAACTATGGCGGACTGTGGGAGCTGGGATCAAAGGCGGGAAAAACTTCGAATTGAGTGATGCAATGGACGATGTCAAGGAGCCCCTCAGAATGACCTTGTGCTCGACCTAAGAGAACGGCTGGTAACAAGAAACTATCAGTAACAAGTGCATCGCTACTAGTAACAAGGGCATTTCTACTAGTAACAATCCTGTCGCAATCCCGGAGCCTAGAACAACTCGAAGACGGCGGAAGCAACAAACCCTGGATCTGAACTCATCTAGCCCCAAAACCCCAGCCCTGTCCATGAAATCCCATGAACACCCAAACAGCTCGTATCTAAATGGATCTCAACCATCATTGGACCCTTCTATGGAGGGTGTTGACCCTGCACAGCAGGAGGTCTGGACCCTCAAAACCTCACCTTTGGAGGTTCATCCACGTGTGACCTTGCAGGTGATATCATGTTTGTTGGAGGCAAGCGTTGGAAGATCTTGGTTCTTTTCATGATCCAGTCAGGTAGGGGTCCATGATTCTTCGGGGTAGGATCTTTCAAAAATACCTGGCCCCAAAACTCGACCGCTTGGCGCGTACGCGTATGGGGAGCGTATGGTCATGCAGCCTCCCCTGGCCCAGTGGATGATCATTTGCAAGGTTCTTAAACATAAGAGTAATTAGCAGTAATTAGCAGTGATCAGAGAATAAGTGGTATGACCAAATGCTCATTACTTGATGATCAAATGTTAATTTAAACTTAACATCTGATCAATGAATCGTTTACAATTTATTGGAGATGTGACTAAATGATAAGTGGTGTCAACTGTGGCAAAGCATGGGGAGCCTGCAAACGATTTAGGGTCTCTGGTTGTTTACTTTCAACTCATTTCAGATTCCATCCTCTTCCACGCGCTCCAGCCAGACCGTCCGCTTCTCCCTTTGTTCAGCTTCTTCAATGGCGTAGGTCGGCTGAGTGCTTCCGATGTACAAGCTCTCATCTTCGTCTGAAGGAAACAACTTGAGCTTCCCTTCCTCACGTGCTTTGTCTGCGGAAACCACTAAACAAGAAGCTAAAACCAAGCTATACATAGCTATACCTTATACCTAGGCTAGGGGGTCCAAAAAGTACCAAAAGGTACAGCGTTTGACGTTGGTTTCAACTGAGCTTCAGGTAGCAACTTCAGTGCGCACCCGCGACCCTCGATGACCTTGTGATATGCGACGATCTCGCCACAACGTCCTGGCGCTGCACCGCCAAGCAACGTCTGGTGTTGGAAAAAAACGTCTGGTGTTCAATGGAGACAATTTTGCGCGACTGGATCTGTAGATTTGGATCTGTCTTGACTTAAAATGATGACCTGAAACTTCAAAGGGCTACTGAAGTTGAGATCCACAAGCAGTGTACGTATGGTAGTGCATTGGAGACCCCGATTTCGGAGGGTGTAGATCACCTCTACCACAGACGGTGGGCTCCAGTGTTTGACTAGGCGATCCTCACCGTGTCAAGGGCCGCTCGGATCCGCTCGGTGAGGTTGGCAGTCCGGGCGAAATCGCCGCTTTGCTGCGCCGAGCCGAATCAAAGACATAGAAAGACATCCCATGCCAGGGTCAATCCCCTGACTTACCCATATGACCCATTGCCTGGGGATTGACCCATGTGGGAACAATCAACATCACCCTGTTTCCGCAAAACCAGTAGGATGTAGGAGAGTGAACGGACATCACGATGTTCACATTTCCTGCGTCCCAAAAGCTTATGTATCCTTGTACTTCTCTCTTCAGTATGGAGGAAACCTGTGTGGATTGTTTAGTTTGAATGATGAGAAAATGCGATAAAACTACCAGAAATCTGACTTAGTGAGTGTTGTTCTTTCATGGGATAGACCCGGCTTCGCCGCCCTCAACCATGCTTGGTGAGTTCTCTTATCACCTCGAGTGAGTCTGGAGGGTCCGACTATGCTTGTACATGAGATCGCATGGCCAGCAGTTTCTAAGATGAAGATAGATGAAGCACTTGGTCCTTAGCCTTCAACAAACAAACCATAGGGCTTCCAAGCACGGCAAAACACACGTGGTTTCGCCCCGCACTTCTTGAAGTCTCAGAAAAAACCAGGAGCTCCTTGCTGGACGAAGTCCTCACAGGGACTCGGCACGGTGGGGAAGCCCCGCACTCGGACGGAGTTCTCATGAAGCCATCGGCAGCCGTCGAGCATGACTCCGATGGGTCGCACAGCACCCTCCGCCGCCAGAGCCCACGAAAACCTCGCAGGACTCGCGCGGACGCGGCCGAAGCAGTAAGTGGTGCCTAAGCAGTAGGGTTTTCGCCGCGGTGGATCGAATGGTGTCGTGCATGGTTGGGGGCTGGATGTGGTGGACCAGGTGGACTAGGACATCATGAGGATTCTGGACATGGATCCGGTTCGGCTCCGGCAGCCTTGTCGCGAGTCATGTCAGTCGATGCGTGACAGGATTTGACTATCTTTGAGAGGCAATTTGTGGCTTTCACTCCTAAACACCCCATGGGACTTTACAGACCTGCCATGCTTGGCTACATTGGTTGACCTGGGGTCAATGGGGCGGCAGTCCTATGCCAGTCCCAGACAGGTCGCGTCTGGGACTGACTTCGAACTGAGCATCTGTCGAACCTTGCGAGGGTGAAGGAAGCTTGCGGCCCGAGGATCCGCGAGGTTCAGCGAAAGAAGTCTGACCTCCAATCCCTATTTGAAGCGGCTGCGCAAACAGACTTAGATCTGTGTCCAAAAAGTGGAAAGAAGCGGGCAGGGAACTCACATGCCGCAAATCTTCCCAAAGAAATCTGAAAAATCTGGTTCAACCACCCATATCAACCCTCTGCCCCTAATGTGGGAAGGCTGTGGGAAGGTGGAACCCAGTCGGAGAGACAAACCAAATCTCACTTAGTCTGAGCACCAGGCCTGTGTCTAGAACCTCTCGGAGCTTCTTCCGCCGGATTTTCATGGATTTGTGCTCCTGTGCATTTGACGTTATTGCATTCTGGTCTACTGCTTGGGTAAGATAGGAAAATCAACTACTCCAGGGCACAAGTAGATTGCAAAAATCCTATGCATCAATAGCAAATTCCTACAGCATGCCTATGCGATGATCTATAGTTGTATAACCTCCCAAAAAGACATGGAAGGCATTACCTACCAGGTCCCTTTCATTCCCACTTTCCCCTCACGTTCACGACATCGACCTGTGCCAGGATGCACGCTATCAGCTAAGTAGAAGAGGTTGTAGAAAAGGCCTTGCCCACATTCCCCTCCAACATGGTAGCAATGAAAGCACCATTGGTCACTGGCATCGAGGCAACCCCACGGGCCAAAGCCATTGAAATTCCAACCCATGTCATCGTCAAAGGTCGCGTTCCTCAGATCTCGTTTGGAGAAGACATGAAACACATAGACTTTCACTTCATGGTCCATGGTCTGGAACATGCCACCTGAAAAAAGAGGGACTACGACCTCGAGAGAGGGGTTGTAGTAGACATATAGAAGTACCATCGACTGAGTCGTGTTGTTTCTTCATGTGATCTGTTCCTAGTACAGTTGTTTCTCAGCACCTTGACATTTACTCCACTCAATTGTCTAGTAGCACCTCATGTTGTTTTTCCTTTGACCTTCCAAACACTGTGGCCAAATACTTAGGAATCTGGTCGTTGATTCAGGTGTTTTCTTCGGGAACAGTTGGTATCAGGAATATATCTAAGCAGTATTTTGAACATAACGTCACATTGTAAAACCCAACCTTTTGGGTGTCTATGACAATAGGGGTCTCCCTCAACGATCCCCTAGAAGGTTCGGAAAATAGACCAGGAAAAACCGAGGCGCTCGGGGGCTCCCTACTCTTATTGAAAGATTAATGGAAAAACATGGTTGTGGTTCTATATAGGAACCGCTTGATACGGCTGCGGGTCAAGGTTCTTGAACTCCCTAAGCCCTGGTAGGTTGACCTATCGGTGGTCAAGCAGGGTGCCCCGGTTGAAGGACCCACACGTCACACGGATCTCGGCTGCCGAAGCAAACCGTCGGAAGTCGATCCGAAGTCGTAGAGTGAACTCCGAGACACGAGGAGTTATATAAGGACTGGAATATCTTATATATATAAGTTGTTTATGGTAAAAACCTCCCGACCGACGAAGCCGCACTAGCTGAGGCGCCGGTACTTTTCGTAAAGCTTGAGCCAAATGTAAGGAAATCGCTACGCGTGAGAAATGCCGCGCACTAAACGTTCACGTCTCATTTAACTCCCTCATTTCGAGCGGCGAGCGGACGGAACGCACACAGCAAACTATGTGGAAGCAGCAGGTCGGACACTCAGAAGTTGCAGTAGTCGTTCCCAAGCATTGGGCTGTACGACCTTTGTCAAGGCATCAGCTGCTTGAAGATCTGTGCTGCAATACTCAGCTATCATTTCAGCCAGACTAGCAATATCGATGCGGTGGGTTCTTGAAGCGCGTCGAAGCTTCACCGAGAAACCACTCTTCAAGATTGATAGTGTTGCTGAGTTGTCTTCTTTGAGCTTCATCGTGACCTTCCTGTCTACGAGTTGTTCTAGGAAATCAAGCAACGGCTGTCCTTCGGAGTATACAGCACTTGCCATGGATATGATCTCAGCCTCAGTTGTCGATCTTGCTAGCGATGACTGGCATCACGAGTTCCATGCAATCGGCCAGCGTGAAGATCCTGATTGCCAAGATTATCATCATGCCAGATGTAGAGCGGGCGCTGTGAACACACGATGCTAGATCAGCATCTGCATACACATGTATCTCCGTGTTCTCAACACTCCCAGCTTGAAAAACCATTGAGTACTTCTTGGTCCAATGAACATAGGACACCACCCTGTGAAGATGAACATCTTCAGCGCGTGTCCACACACTAATTCTGCTTGCTAGTCTTCCGACTGAGTACGAAATGTCTGGTCTAGCCAGTCTGGCCGGCCAGAGTCCTTTCATCAATACTTTGGCCGCATGCGGCTTCATAGACCCTGTGGTTTCATACAGCTCATCTATCGCTGATGTGAGGCGCGGCCACACGACGGAATGATTTGGCATCTATATCCCAGTGATGTCAAGGTAAAGCTCTACAAAATGTTCAGCATAACCAACCATGGACATCTTAACTGTTCGTGGTGTCTCGAGTTCACGCAGTCTACCAAGAATGAGTACCGAGGTATCAGACGATAACATTTGTGGGTCTTCAATTTTGATGAGCTCACTGAATTGGTCCCAAAATCGCTTGTGAAGGTGAGATGCCCCTGACAACGTCAAGTCGTCAACATAAACATTTAGTATCATGCGATGCCTGTTGATGTTGAAAATGAAGTTGCTTGGAAACCCGCTACTGGTGTACCCCCTAGCTTGGCAATACGTGTCTCAAGATACTCCTGCCAAAGGCGTCCTACACGAGGGTGCCCATAAAGGGACTTGCGGAGTTTGACTGCAACCCTTCCGTAGAACTTGGTTTTCCATGAGTTCATCCACAGCTGTTTGGGCAGTATGACGAATGTCGGCTCATCTTCTGGGAGATAACTCTGCAAAAACGCTTGTACAGCGTCTGCTGTAGACGTGGCGTGTCCATCCAAAGCGCCCCATGGTGCACCAGAGACACATGTTGAGCGCTATGATTGTGGTGGGCGATGTGGACACCTCGGTGAAGAGGACTATGTCCCCATTTTGAGTCATGACTGTTTCTCCTCGGTATACTATCCTTCCTTTGTATTTTTGTTTGGACTCGTCTAGTTCGGCGTGCTTAATGCCGCAAAGGATGAGGAGCTCCGCCACTTTGATGTCTTTGGAGAGGATTTTGGACTGCCGCGTGAGTTCATCTGCATCGCAGGCGGTCTCGTCATCCCATGTCTGGTCTGACCTGAGTCCATCGCTTTCCTTTCTGATGGCCTCTAAGGCTTTTGGATTTGAAAGCCATTCATGTCTTCTGAGGGCTTTTATGACAAGACCAAACATCAACACAAAGGCGTCTTCAGAATCAACGAGGTTGTCTTGTATATGGGTTGTCTTGACTGACATTGCTGGGACGCGTTGCGTGTAAAACTGTTTGGGGTAAAGCACTTCGGAACGGTGTAGTACGCAGTTCTTGCAGCATTGCCGCCCTCACATGGTTCATGTTGATTCGAGTTGTGATTGCACTGCATTTCAGCGAACAACTCTACAACCCGACGGTCGTTGGTTGCCAACGTCCAGGGTTTCTTTAACCATTTGTTCTGCTTTCCCTTCAATCCCAACATGCAACCGTGGAATTGCACCATCATGAGGCGATGCCTTGCAATGAAACCTACGAGATTTGGAAGACGCCATCCCTGACAGTAAGTGGGCCATTCCCAAACGAGCCGGCCATTGTTGGATATGACGTACTCCCCAACTTGCAGAGCCAAGTCAACCATGTATGAAGATTCTTCCTGCTTTCGCGTGAGGTCGGCCAGAAACGAATCACCAAGACGCTGGATATTCAACTCTTGGACTCTTGGAGGTTGGACCATGGGTCGCAAGGCAAAGACATCCATATGTCGGCGCCATGTTGGGCTTTGAGTCGCCCCACAAGTTGGAGAATGTGATGGAAATTGCTTAGGTCAACGGCCTCTTTGTTCAAGCGAATTACTTTCACCCCGTATTGGGGAGCATGTCACCGATCAATGAGTCACTGCTACACGCATATTTTTTAGAACCCCAACCCCAGGCAGATCAGTCGCAAGCCGTCTGACGCGCGACAACTGCTTCCACGCTTCTTTGGCTTGCTTCTGAGCTGCCAGTGCAAAGCTTGCGCTCTCTGTTTCTTCTTCTTCACTCCTCGGTGTGGTTGGTGCGCCTCCGAGGGATTCTGCATCACTTGCTGGAGGGCGTTCTGGAACAAGCTCTTCGGCCATCAGGTCGCCGAACGCGATCGCTGACGGCTCATCTTTGTCTTCTTCCAGGATTGTTTCAGCTGTGATGGGAGTGGGCTTTGCTCCAACTGGAACCGGCTTGTCGGCCTTGATCAGTCGGTTGAATCTGTCTCGACATTTTTTCGAATGCCTAGATGTCAGCATTTCGCAACCCCTACAGTTGTCAGCGCCACCATACTTGATGAGACGGTCAAGTGTGATATACTCTGCACGGGTCTTGGCTGGCATCTCAATGGGCTCATCGCTGACAGGAATATTGATTGGAGGGATCTGTGAAGGATCTTCCAGACTGAATCCTGCCAAGGACTGGCGGTGTGAAGCGTTCGTTGAGAGGCATTGTCAAAGGATCAAGCACTACCTCTTCTTGTGGCGCTGCAATGGTGTTTTCAAAACCTGGTGCCTGCGTGCGGAGCTTTTCGTAGTCCAGTATGAGCACAACCCCCCTGAAACGGCATCCATTCTCGAGCCTCCATCCGGCAAAAATGCCTGGAAGACATGAACCACCAAATTTGTGAAGCTTGTTCTTGTCACAAATCCTGTAATAAACCAACTGTCCCAATAACCAATGAGGACCGTCAAACCTTTGGCCTGACGCAGCCTCAAGTCTTGTCAGGGCTCTTTCCCCGTCTGGTGGCTTCACGTCCGGTTGTGTCCAAGCAAGTGCGAGCGACACTGCGCAGTATCGAACGGTTATGGGCCATAAGGATGGATATGGGGCAAAGCCAGCAGCGAGAGGAGTGGCGCGCACGGATTCCTCAAATGTTCTGATGTCCCTTTCAAGTCGTGAATTGTGTGGCCATTATCTTTCAAGAGTTGGTTCATAGAATGCTCCAAGTTGTTCGGCGGCATATTCGAACTCTTTCGCTGCGTCGGCTTTACATACCAGGGTGTGTGCAGATGACCTTGGCCCCAAAAACTTTTTGATGTGAGAAGCGATCAAGTCGCCGTCCTTGGAAAACATCGGAATCCCTTGAAGGAAGCCGGACCACTCATCCCTGATCATGAGAACGTAATGGTCTGTCTTTGACTCGGCTGTCTTGCCAACAACAATAAAATCAATTGCAATGCGTTCCCCAAATCCAGTGACAGGATCTAACCCCCGATCAAGGAGCTCATATTCCCTCTTCTTGGCAACACGTTTCTTGTAGCACTTGGCGCTCTTGCAATCCAAACATTGACTCGACTTCGGAAAGTGTGCAAGTCTATGCTCAACGGAACGGGCTCTTTGCAACCCGGCCCGGACCCAGTCAACACCACCCTCTGAGTCAGCGTCTGAAGCATGTCCTTTCGGCACCCCTGCTTTAGAGCTTTCAACTCCTTTGTCGCGTGCACCAATTTTGGAGCCTTCTGGCGCCCCCCGTTTTGGAGCCTTCTGGGATATGGCTAAATGCTGTTGGGCATTCCGGGAACGATCTTAATGTTTTCGCGGAAGATTGGAACGTTTTCCTCCACACGATGGGCTACAATGCGATCCTCATGCATACATGCAATCTGAAGAAGGTCGCTGCTGGTTACAAAGAATGGCAGCTCACCAGGCAACCAGACGAAGGGTCGATCTTGTTGCGATTGACAATTTCACCGAGACTGCGAACCAATGGACAACCCTTTGGGAGAAGATACGCGTTCGAATATCCAAAAACATCACCCTCATATCCAATGGTTTCATGTCCTCTTCTTGCACCTCCGCCTGTGGCAAAATCTGTGGGAAACTCCGTTGAGGTGGTATTGTCTTTGATCAACCCACTTGGAATCCCGATGGCTTCAAGTGAAGAGACGCTTCCCAAACTCCTACCAGCACCTGAGTCAGCGATCCAATCAACACAGAATGTTGAGGATGATGTGCGTTCAGAAATCTGGGTGCGCGCAACACTCGAATGCAACACTGGCACTACACCATCCAATTTCCATTGGCTTTCATGGCTTGCACCAATGGAATTATGGTTTCAATCATCTCTGAACCATCAAAATTAGCTTGGGTTTCAATCGTTCCACCAATGGAATTCTGCTTTGAACATCTCTTAACCATCCAAATTAGCTTGGCATTCAATTCTTCCGCCAATGAAATTCTGATTTGGAACATCTCTTAACCATCAAAATTAGCTTGGTTTTCAATACTTGTACCAATGGAATTCTGATCCAGAGTATCTCTTAACCATCAAAATTAGCTTGGTTTTCAATGACCAAACTCTGACTTCCAAAGAGCCTCCTTGAGCCAAAACAGCTAAAGGGCCAGGACGGAACACAGAAACACAGGACACAGGAACACAAACACACACACGCCCATCCAAATTAGTCTCTGCCACTTTTCCTCATCTTCGCAACGTTGCCAACTTCTGTCGCACAGCAATGGCGTATCGCTGTAGAGCTGTACATGCCGAGGTTCTCTTGTGAGTTCGCTTTATGACCCGGCTGACTTTTTTCATAAAGTCTTCTTCCAACCATGTGCTGTCTGTATTTGGGTTCCTATGAGATCTCCTTTGGTGCGCTTCGTTGCACACGTGTAATACCAAGTGCCATTTTGGGCGCACTTTGAAAACCAAAGGGCGCTCATGTACCCCTTGGAGGTACAACTTGCAAAATGCTTCTCCCACAACCCGTATCTGTTGGGCTGTAGCTTCTGTCATGAACCAGGGGCTGCTGCAGAGTAAGGATGCAAATTTGTCTGCGCCCCAAATCACCGCAGAAATATGCTCAAAAGCTGGCAGCTGGCAGTCAGCAAGCTCCGAAGCTAGCCACTTCAGGATGATGAAGGAGTCGTACCCCTTGCTGCGCAATTCCTTTGCTGCAACCCAAAAATCAAGTGGTTGCATCACAACTGAAACTGATTTGCCATCGAAAAAAATTACAAAACTTTAAACCAAAGCATCTGGGCACTCACGTGACTTAAAATTGAGGTTGCTTTGGCTGAACTTCTTCAGCGCGGTCTGCTTCCCAAAAGAACGGCAGAATGTGCGCAAGCTTTTGGTAGCACGCTCAAGCCGTAGCTTGACAGCACCATGGCCAAACCAACCTCCTCGAACCAGTATGTGCATGGCAGCTCCAATCCTCACACAGACAAAACACAGAAAACAAACAGGTTGGGCGTTCTCAACAAAACAGCAAACAAACAGCCACAAAAGCTCTTGATGTGGTCCAGGCACAGGTCGCGGGCCACGCCCAAGTTCCAAATGTGCAGTGTGTCGTACCCAACCTTGATCAGGTCAAAGCATTCCAGCAAAGCTAAAGATGGCTGTATGTTCCATGGTAACGGCGCTCTGCCGACAGTGTCTCGCCACGGTGCCTCTGCCGACAAATCAGTGAAGTTCAGCAACCCAGATTTGGTTGCCAGACAGCTGAAGCAAATGGATTCGGCATTTGGATGCCTTCGGAGATTCATGGACTGCTTCAAAAACTTCCAATCACCCTTGATGCTCATGACAAATACTTTGGCTGTCCATCCCTTAGCCAAAGACACCGAATCCCAAAAACCTGCCAAAAGTGTCTTTGTGTTTCTCCACTATCCTCATTCCAAACCTGACTGAAAAAAGGAAGCCAAGAGACTTCACCATCAGGGGCATGAGGACAGTAGGTGTTGTTTGCAGAAATTCTCAGGCCATCCCGGGCAACTTCATTCAAGGAGTCCGTCATGTAACGCAACACCGTCTGTAAGGTCACATTGACCCCACTGGAAGCCTCAACGATGGATAGCAATAGACTCATAAACACTTGACACAGAAACGCCAAAAAATGCCACCAGGAAACAATAAAGTATTTCTCTGATGGTATGATGGCCGACAGAAAGCGGCTGGCCATGGAGTCTGAACTGTGGATGTTGAGGGTTGGATGCCAGGTCAAACACATATGAGGCGAGCGAAACACATTCACCTCATCGCCATATACAGCCACAGGGGCTGCAAACGCAGGATCAATTTTGGCTCGATCTTGAGGAAAATCTTTCAACGCATGCTTCCAGTACTCAACTCGATCATCTGTAGAACCCATGATCAGTGGTAAGTGTCCTGCCCGAATCAAAGATACCATCATGTCTTTTGGGAGTAACATCGGCCAGGGTTCAATGCACATTTTGCAGTCCTCCCCCATAACAGGGACATCAAGCATAGACACTGGACAATCCAAGCTGAGGTCTTTCTGAACTGCTCTGCGGTGTAGCCTTTGCTCTGGTGCTCTGCTCTTTGACCACCCAAAAGCATCGCTCCCATATACTCGACCAATTTTTTCTGCGAAGGCCTGCGAAACATCACCAGTGCCAAAAGCTGTAGCTATCCTGGGAATACACACCGGCAAACAAATGGCGACAGCTCAGTTTGGAGGAAACTAAGTTGAACTAGGTGGCAAAAGCAAAAAGAAACCTTTCTTTCCAATTATATAAGCTACTCTCTGTCCAAATGTAAACGTACATCTTGCTGGAGCAAGCCTGCCCAAAAATACCAAGTGCTGAGTAAAACAGTGCTGCAGCGCCAAGGAACCTATTTTCTGCACTCCAAGTTCTGTCGCTTCATCTTTTGAAACGGCATCGATGGAGGTTAATCCCCCAAGATGCAAAACCCCATACGCAGATCTGCGAATCCCCTGGTCCCTCAAAAGCAGCTCAGTGTACTGGTAGATATATTAGGCCTTTGCCTGAGATTCATCCAAAAACAACGAGCATACCACACCGGTCAAAAACAATCAAATCAGTTAATCCATCTTGGTGCCAGCTCCCTTGCCACAGCTTTGCGCTGGACCTGTAGCATCTTGCACTCGCTCACCTGCAGGGTCTAACGGAAAGGACATGAAGTTTCTCAAGTTGCAAGTCCAAAGTTCGAAGATGGACCTTGCGTTTCACAGCTTCCATCTTCGATTGGAGCTGCCCATCGGTCATGGTATCGATGTCAAGCTCCTTGAGCTCATCCATCATGTCGCCGACAATGACCTTTTGCGCCAAGAGCTTCACCCTCAAGTCGTGCCCTGGCAGAGTCAAAAGATCAATGAAAAAGAAGAGAGCTTTGTTCAGCAACCTGGCCTTTTGGCAGGTCAAGGGCAGAAGCGGTTGCAAGGTACTGCTTCCGCAACTCGACACCTTAGAAACATTTATGTTGCACAGGAAGCATCCAACTGTGGACAAAAACACCTTCAGAAGAGTGGCCAGCATCAGCAACTGTATCCTCCCATGACTTCGGCTCTTCTGGTGTTTTGGCTACAGCCTTGGCCTTTGCCTTCGCTTTCCTACCTTTGGTGGCCCCCTTCTTTGGTGCTGGTGTCCCAGCAGTCTCAACCTTTTGCTCCCCCTCCTTCATTCCAGCAATGACCCTGGCGATGTCAAGGCTCTTGGAAGCATTGGTTTGGTGCCGGCTTGCAAATCCAGAAGTCAACCCATTGATCGCTTGAGAGTCAGCAGCGATCCGGCTGGTGCCAACCATTTTCACTTTGCTCCGCTCCTTGACATTCCTTTTGACGTGGACATTCACCCACCAGCGCGCCTCTTCGAGGATTTCAGGGTGATCCTTGTCCAGCACAGGTTGCTGTGTCGACATCACGGCTGCAATCTTCCGCCTGGGCCAAATGCACACAAATCAAAACAAACACATCATCAAACCAACTGAAGGATCAGAACCTGCAACTGACCAACAGCAATTGATCCAAGGGGCTCGCTGATTCCTGCTCTCTTCATCCCTTCCATTGTCAGGAGTTGCTCCTCAGAATCATAGGAGTCTTCGGTCTCCTTGGTAATCTTGAGGTGCATCTCGCATTTGGCAGCGACCTCCCCCGAACTCAACCAGTTTTGCAAGAGGTCACGCTTCTGCTGCAGGGTTCCATTCCACAGCTCACTCATGTTAGGGCACTTGACCGGATCAGCTTTTTCCATCCAGCGGTTCATCCTTCCATGGAGCTTCTTGCAATTGGAGCTATTGATGAACGCCGGCGGAACCAATCCCTTCTGGAATTGTGCAATGATATCATCTGAGCAGGGCCAGACAAGAAAACAAGTTTCCTCCCAATTCGAAACATGAAAGCACATTTGGTTGAAAAAAACCTTGCCTTCATCCATCTCTTTGAGGTCCTCCTTGGTCAACATCTCACCAGGAACAGTGTCAGCATCTGGATCGCAGTCTCCAACCTCGCCACAAAGATGCCCCAAGCCACTCAGGTTGTCAAGGACCTTCTGGCACCTTCCTTGCGTGGGCTGATGAACAGGTTCAGCTGGCAGAGCAGGTGGCTGATCATGTTCAGCTGGCTGATCATGTTCTTCATGAACAGGTTCAGCTGGCTTTGGACTTGCCGGTGGTCTCCCAGTGTCATCCAAATGTGTGTCTGAAACCTCTGCAACATGTGTTTCTGCAGCAAGCTCAGGAGCTGAAGGTGCCGCTGGAAGCTCCAGACTTGAATGCATTTCCTCATCCACTTTGTCCGGAGCTTCAGGCGCAAGCGGAGGAGCCGGAGCTTCAGGTGCAACAGCGGGAGGTGCCTGCGTGGCCTGCACAGAAGCTGTTGAAGGAGCCACTTTGGCCTCAATATGTTGCCCATTCAACAAAGCCTTCACCAACTCTGTGGCCAGGTTCTGCGTGAAGACTTCACTTGCACTCCCACCCAACCTTAAAAGAAAAAAATCAATAGTTCAAAAACTAGTTACAAAAAACACATACTCTCCAAAGTCAGCTTTCAAGCCAAGCAACGAAGCAAAGAGCTCACTCTCAGTCGGGTCTTGCGACTCCAAGAAGGTCTTGGCCGTCTGTGCAAAAGTCTGCGCAACCATTTGTTCTTGTCCTTTTAGCAATGTAGCCAAGGAATCTGACTCATTCGGAGTATTCGGCTCTGCAATCTGAGGCTCCACTGGTTCTGCAAGAGCGGCGGCACCTTCAGCTGCTGGTGGCTCTGGCTGCATCTTGCGCAACCTCTTCCTGCGAGGCTTGACCGGCTCAGCAACCTCAGATTCTTCCTGTTTCACCTCTTCCTCCGCAAGCATCTCTTCTTCCCATTCTTTCTCTGCCTTCTTGGACTTCTTTTTTGAGCCCTTGGCCACCTTGGTTGAGCCCTTGGCCACCTTGGCCTTTGCCTTGGCCTTTGCCTTCGCTTTTGCACACGCACTGCCCTTGGATCCTGAAGCACAGGCCTTAGCTTTCACTTTGGCCTTTGCTTTAGGCGATGCCTTGGGTTTGCTCTTTGGTGCCTCTTCTGGTTCATCGGTAGGCTTTGTTTTCTTGGGTTTCTGGCTCTTGGAACCTTTTTCCTGCCAAACACACACAGGGTTGAAAAACCTACAGGAATCCAACAACACCAGTCCTTTGGGGGCGTAGTCTTGGGTGGTGTCTTTTGCGCTGTCTTCGAGCCTTTGGGCGGTGGTGTTTCCTTGGCTGAGACGAGTTGAAACAGCGGCGCTCACAACACGAAACAAAAACAACATCAGAAACAGCCCGCAAACACAGACAAAGATCATTCGCAGAACCGCTCTTTAAGGCCTTGATTACTTCAAGGGCTTCATCTTTAGACAAACCATGGTTTGCCATGATTTCATTCACATCGAGCTCGTCCATTCGCAACGCCATAGAGGCCCGACACACAGATCCACACTTGAACTCTTGCACCAAAAGCTGAATGCACAAAATGCACTCTTAACATCGCAAAAGATATTTAAAAAAACACTGTGGACAAATTTCCACGATTTCCACGGCGTTTTCTT